TTAGGTTTTTATATCTCCTTCGTAGGAGTTATAAAGTCCTACGTAGGACTAATAAAATATGTAGGACTTACAAACTCCTACGTACGAGTTATAAACTCCTAATTAGGCTTTTTTTTTATCTCATACGTAGGAGTTATAAAGTCCTACGTAGGTGTTATCTCTATTTATAGAACATGTTAAACTTGCACAATGACGCTTCCGTACTATTAAGCTTGAATCAGGCATGGAAGGCTGACCATCACTTATTTTTTGTCCGGATACGCCCTCGTGATATAATTCGTCGCATCCAAACTCCAAAAAGTAATTTTATTTAGTGAATAAAATCGCCGTTTATGATTAATTATTTCTTATACATCATGCATTTTTCTTTATGCCAAGTGAATTTTGTGCAATTGTGATATGTATACACACATGTTAACTAAAAAGTAATACTTAAACACATAATCATTTTCAAGGTATTTATATACAAACACCATTTTTCTCACCGTTATTAAGGTTTTATTATTAATATTAACTTGTAAAGAACTCTGACCCCGTGTTCACAAAGAAAAGATCAGTATCAGGATCAGTTGATCCTGATTTTATTTTCATTGTTTTAAAAAAACTAAAACTGATCGTATTATGCTAGATTTAAATGGTACATATTCGAATTATAAATAATTGCTTATTTGAAACAAAACCTATTTTGGGATAAAATCAACAAATAACAAAACAAATACAAAAATAATCGGATCAAAATGAGGATGCATTTTAGGATCAAGATCAAAATTTTGATCAACTGTAAAATACCTATATCTTATAAAAATAACAATAAATTCATTCTAAAATTTCATAAACTTGTTGTGTCAAGTACAGTTTTATCAAGTTATTACTAAATAAAATAATCTATAAGGATAAATAAAAGAGAATATTTGAGTTTTCAAATTTGATCCTAATCAAAGGGCTGTGTTTTATGGAGAGTCCTAAGTTAATCCTAAATCCTAGGACTTATGATCAACTTGAGGAGAAAAATTTTTGCACTTAAGACCGTTTCAAGTAACTGTCCTATCTATTGTCGTAAACTTAAGACTTATGACCTCTTAGCTTTCCTGAAAAAAGTTACAAAATACAATGGCACGCGCATAATCCCGGATTGGGTTTACTATGCAATTGATTATAGCAAGTTAGTAATGTATTGCCGTCTTGACGTAAAATACATAAAGATTTTATCATGTTGAGTGAAAATATATACCATATTTCACGCAAAACGAAAAGAAATAACCTTTTTATTTATTTTTATTATCAAAGAAAAATTGTGACGAATCTCCTTGCTTGCTACACGACAGCAATTATATATTTGACTGATACAGCACCATATTTCAGGAGTGAAATTAAATAATTCTCAATATCTGCTTTCACAAATTCGGTGATTTGCATGATCGATTCCCTTGCAAATGTGTACAGTATCGACTAATTAACTCCTCGTCAGTATAAACGTCTAGCACCTGTGAACTGTCCCCCGGCACAGGGCCCTCCGTCTTTATAATACTACCATGAATGCTGCCGTGTTTTATTTTGGAATGGTTTTGACGTAAGATAATCTTAGGATACATTTAAAATTACTCCTAGACTTAGGACTGTTTTTGCTTATAAATATAGGAGTCATAAGTTTGGACCTTTTTTAAGACTTTCTTTGAAACGCAAAATTGTCTTATTTTTATCTTAGGACCGACTTAAGACTTAGGACTCTCCATGAAACTCGGTCCAGCCTTATTTCTTAATTAATACTTAGACTGAAAATGACCGAACAAAAACCATCATAGTAGCTCATTTCCTTATTAGATACACTAATTAAAGTAATGAAAAATAATCTCCCTAATAGAAACAAGAAAAGCATTGAACCAAAGGCGACGCCAAAATATATATCTAATTTAAATGAAAGGTTTTAACAGTGTTTACTTTATCTTGAATTGAATAAACAACCAAATCAAATGCACTGTCATTTTCAATAGTACCATTGATCATCAATAAATGAATAGACATAGATATTACTGCTTACTGATAAACAGTGCAGACTAAGATAAGACTAAACAGATATCTGCATACAATCCGAGCCATTTTGTTATGTAAGAAATGGTAAATCAGTTTGTTTAAGGTCCATCGCACCCATGTACTCTAAAGAGTTCTATGAAGCACTGTAAATTTCTTAAAGCATTCAATCACAAATACACAAAACATCTTCTTATTTCATGTAAAAGTACACACATAACTAAATGTAAACTTCTTTTATCTTAGACAAAAGTGAGGAAAAGTATAAACAAATAGAAAAGACTATTGTTTTTACAAAAAGGAAATCTTTATATTGAAAAAAAAAGGATTTCTAGCCTCAAACAATTAATTTTATATAAATCATAAATAACTTTTAAAATAATACACATAATATATCATTGAAACATTAAAACAAACATTATCAGAAATATATTTCTAATGTACATGAACTGTTAAATTGCGCTTTATATCTTAAGATATTGGTAATTCTTCATTTGTATCATACAATAATGATACAATAAGAGAGACTTTATTTCAAGTTTATAAATCGCTAAACAGAACCAATTTGAAAACGAAATGGTTATAACATTAATTATTATTATTATTATTATTATTATTATTATTATTATTATTATTATTATTATTATTATTATTATTATATGAATTACATGTTAGGAACCAAGTAAAATGGTAATACATGGATAACAATATATTACGAATTGACGTTATATCGGACAATGATTTAAAATGATAATTCATGTTTACAAATAAAACAAATTGAATCACAACAACCATTACATTTCTAAAACATGCATGGGTCTTAAAACATTGTACTTAAACAGTTATCTATTTACTTTTGACAATAGGATTGTCAAATGAGGAAATCATTATGTTTTCAGTTTTGATATTTAGTAAAATACATTCAAGACTCTTTCGGTAAAACAAAAATGAATTTACAAATTTTTCGTTTAAAGTACAACTCGAAGACATACAGCTCATGTTACTATTTTCGGACAGAACATTTATGTTTACCTCTGTAAACTTTCAATGCCTACAGATTAGATATTTGTCATGAATCATTTGTAATGACAAACATCTACAAAATTTTAAAATTGATGATGCTTTAGAAAAAAATGACAGACCCAATGTGACATTACTAAAATTGTGTTTTTTTCTAGTAATGCAGCTCAAGTAAGCGATTTAGGGTCATCGTGGTCATAGCAGTTTAAATGGACTCCGCTGTGATTTTTTGCCATGAAAATGAATGAATATAAATATTGTAATTTGTGTGTAGGCTTTGGCAAAACACTTTGTTGCGATATTTCAGATAATTCGCTCACTCTGATTTCAAGAATATTCTTTTGTATTGTGACAACAATCCAAAAAAGAAAGCGTTTTGATGTGAAGATTGGTAAACATTTACGAAATTAAATTTGTCAAGAACAGCGCATCACTTACCACTTAAGTATTTGATATATTTTTTTTTAAATTGTCGATTTACATGATTGATTAAATTAAGCCGATTAACCGAAGTAAATGTCATTTTAAATGCTACAATTCTATTGGAAAAATGATTGTCAAACACTAAGTGTTTGAATTTATTTTTTGTCCAATAGAATTGCAGTATTTCAAATGCATCGTAACACATTTGCTTTGGTAAATCTGAAAACTGTTAATCAGTCTAGTAAATCATATATTAATAAATATAATTTAAAGCACTAAGCTGGTTAAAATTGATCAGTACGTATTTACAAAATTAAATTTGTCGCCCGACTGTGTCGCGCTTGACCAATTTAATTTTGTAAATACGTAATAAACTTTAACCTATACTTAAATCAGCATTGGTATGTGCATCCAAATAAATTGAAATCATGCAACGATTTTTTTTATATGGAAATGTATGTCGACATATCTAAGAACGAGGACTTCGTGAACCTCGAAAATCAAGATGTTGGCGAAATCCATACAAACTATATGTTTATGTATGAATCTCATTTATTTAATTTTATTTAAATTTGCAATTCAACGTTTGAAAAGGCATTCAGTTTAATAAATCAAAATCATAGGAGGCATTTTATGCCTGACAAGATAAATAGGAGGTATGAAAGTTGCAGACAGGCATGTCTCAGAAGCAGATTGTCAGTACCCATGAATGTTTCCCACAGAATAAAATGGAACTGTTTCAAAATTGAAAGAAATGTAGCAGATACACACAGTGATTGTCGGTCTAAGTGTACAACTCTTGCACAAGACCGATATATTGTCGATTCAGTCCGGCGATATAGTTTCCGTGAAGCTTCTTCATTAACAAACAGCTGACAGAAAGCAAAAGTGTACGGGAACAATAACACAATAAGGAATAGATTGCGTGATGCTGATATGAATGCTAGACGTCCTGGCAAATAAGAGCCGAAATAAGTTATTTTGTGAAATAAATGAAAAGTATCATGATTAAGGAAACATTGTTTATAGACATGGTATTTTAGTTTAACATATTTTCCAGGTATCTCATAACATATTACTTGTAGAACCACGAAAATGATTTATTTGATTTTTTCAAGCTTCGTTGTTCACATCATTCTTATCTGAGTAACCCAAGAATAATCACTGCCAAATTGAAAAAAAAAATTACCAATAAAGTAAACATGTAGTTAAGTTATTTATAATAAAAGCCTTAAAGATTTGACTTTCTTGTCAAAATGATAAGAAACATTCTTAAATTTACTAATCTGGTTGCTTTAATCAAAGTTCGAAATAAAGTACATGTCTATCTGTTAAAGAGATAGTTTCAAAGTCTATACACGTATATGATAGCGTCCAACAATAATTTCATCCTCTGAAAATAGCCCAAAGAGAGCGATAATTACTTTTAAATTGTCTATGAAAGATTAAATTTACGAGTAAAGTTTAAATCTAAAAGAAGCACTTAAATTTAGTACTTTATTGATTTACTATTTAGTACCATTCAACCTGTCCAATTAAGGTGTGGACCATTGGAAATTCCAACTTTCGATTTCGTATTGTACAATTTTTTATTTAAGGTAAATATAAATTACTTTATTTTCCCTGTTTCTTGAAATTTTAAGCTTTAATAAATAGTTAAATAATTTATAAAGTTTACACTTTAGAAATATATTGATTAAATGTGTCACTTCCGTGTTTGACAGGACTTTATTTCAAAAAAAAAATTGTCGTTATTTATCGTAAAAACTTATGTTCTAAAGTATTGTATGAAAAATAAAAAAAAACTTTTTATGAACTAACTAATTTTCTGTTTGATTATAGAATGTCGAGGGTACCAGATTACGCTCACAATTTATCACTTAAAATGTCTGAAGTGATGGATGGGATTGGTGTTAGTGAGAAGATAGTGATGAAAAGAAGAAGATCAGAGCTACTGCGTGAATGACTATTGGCGTTTGATGAAGAGCTACGCGGTAGAGATATGAATGTATTCTTCTTCGGTAGTTTAATAGAAGGAACAACAACTCCAGGATTACAGTCTGACGCAGATAGTGTTATATCTATAAACAATTATAATGTGATACAAGACTGGAGTGAATGGGAATATGGTAAATTTAATTTGTTGATGATACAGAATGAGAATGTCTCACCAGGATATTGTTTGTTACAAGTGTTAAGAGATGATGCTCCACAATCGCGCGTAGTTGAAACTAATGACGATTCAAATAGGGACAGAATGGGAAGAAAATTGTTAAAAAATACAATGTTTGATGGTTTACATGATACAGTAAGAAACGGCCCTGCTCATTCTTTTCAAGGTGTTCCTGGAATCGAAGATAGTGATTTCGTTGCTGCCTTACCCTGTCATTTAAGACCAGTTCAAGCACGACATTGGTTAAATCAACATAGAGAAGAGCATTGGCCTACAAGTGATATGATACAGTACTGCAGTTACACACGATGTTTTGTTGTAGGCGTTGGAAAAACAGGAAGTGCAAATGAAATATTTGAATGGAGAATATCTACATCATTTGCAGAGAGATTTTTAATGTTTAATCTAAACATAACACAAATTAGATGTTACGTTTTGATGAAAATGATTTTGAAAACATTCATAAAACAAAGATTTCCTCACAGCATTTCAAGTTTCATGTGTAAAACAGTTTTGTTACATTGTATTTCATATACAAGATCTGACGCGTGGAAGGAAAATACCCTTTTTACTTGTCTATCACTTTGTTTATCAAGACTTTACAACTGTGTTCAAAATGAATACTGTCCTCATTTCTTCATCACACAAAATAACTTGATGAGCGGGCGATTTACTCCAGAAACAAAGCCGTTAATACTTGAAACTCTCCGATATGTAACCGAAAGAAGTGAGAGGGCATTACTCGAAATTGAATGCGACTGCTTTGGTTCATTTCTTCAGTCAAGTTTAAACGGTATTGAAATTTATATACCAGCACATTATATACCAACATTCATTGCTTGGAAGATGCTAGAAAATACAGCCCTTGCTATAAGCATACACGTCAAAATTATGTTACGTGACGTGAATAATTTATCACCAAGACTTGCGATGCAAAAACTTTTAACATTTATTTCAAATCACCATATCGAGAATTTCATTTTCAAAAATAGAAAAGCTTACCGTTTGTTATCAAGATATTTATTTAGTACACTTGGATCTATTCTAGCATCTTCAAACATCAACAAACAAGACAAATTAGCATTCAAGAAGGCGCTTTCATGCATGTTATTAGGACTTGACACCGATGTAGCATCTGGTAAACTGAAACTAGCATCAATGTTCTATTGTACCGGAGATAATGTGAGGACTGAACTTATCCTGAAAAATATTGAGGAGTGTTATGATCTAAGTGTTGTTGAACCAATGTGTGGGTGTTACAGTTTCGAAAAGTCTCCAAGAAGAGATAGTTTCAACAGATTATGTTATGAATCAAATGAAGAATGCACACTGCTTAAATATATAACAGCACCATGTGTCTGTTTCATTCGATGTGAAATAAACTGTTGCCCATTAGAACTTCAACATGAAATGTTCAGATCAACACAGGAAGATCTTGCTTACAGAAGAAGAGTTGATAAATGGATGGACATGTCCGTTGTAGATTCTCTCCCTTACTTCTATTTCTTGCAGTACAAGACATATTCCCGTCTAGGAAGACAAGATGATAAGCAGAAGGCTCTTACTTATATTGCCAGAACCATTGATGTTGAACCAAATCTCGGACATAGTGAAACAGCACTCAATCTTCTAGGACAGTGCATGGAAGAAGAAAGTCATGTAGAAGATGCTTTTAAATGTTATGTGCGTTCCCTTCAGATAAGAGGACAAAATAATTCAGCAAAGGTCCATATTTGTAAGCTGTTAAACAAAGTGATCAATAACTAGTTTAAACTTATTTTGAAAAAATAGTGTTACGGTATCATCATTTAAAGACGACTTCAAAATAATACACTATTACACCATTGAACATTCTCCTTGTTCAATGGACAAAACTATTTACTTTGAACCAAACTTTGAACGTAATAGGGATATAGCACTTTAGTAATTATAGCACGTTTCTTGCATATTAGACTGGCGTTTCAGTTAGTATTACCCAGGCCGAAAATTTCGTCTGGCACGGGCTATGCCAGATGAGTCGCGTGCTGTACAATGACAGGCATAGGATGACGTAATTGCACTGTTATGAATGAAGTTGTAATTTCATACACTGTTGTAAGATAATAGTTACGGGTGAATTTACATAAATTTTCATGGACATTTGTTTGATGAAGGTAAGGAGTTTAAGAATATGATGGGTTATTATAGAATATGCAAGAACAAATATCTGACACATGTTTTCGTTTCGGATTGGAATGTCCGTCCCAAGGGGACCCGCCCATTGGGCGCTAACAAGGTTTGACAATTTTATTATTCTTAATTAATGTATTTAAATGATAGAGTAAACATTGTTTCACTTCAGTTACGAGGACGGAATATCTTTCCATATTTGTGATCATTTAAAGACAATGATTTTCTTAACTTTCTTTATGATCAAAATTGTCACAAATAACGAACTGTTTGGATTGTATTTTTTAGAATATTATTAAACTTGTTCGAACTTTTATCGATTCAATCACCAGTATTCATACAAAAGAAACAACACTCCTCAATTTGAAGTTATGGTTTCAACTCATGTTTATCCTTATTTGAATTTCAAATTTTTATTTTCAAAATATAAATGCATTAAATGATCATGATGTTATGTTAAATCAGACATTTTAAGGATTTGTGAATCATTCTAATTGTACGATGTATACATGTTTCTTTATAACATGATTGAGCCCACAATATCAAATTCAAACGTATTGAGCATAAACTTATTATATTTCCGTATAAAACGCATTAAATATCAATGTATAGATAAAGATATCTGTGTTTTGTGTAAATATAACGCAGTTATAATATCATTGACTTAAGCCTAACAGAATTCCAAACCATTTTGCTATATAATGCCACGAGTTAATAACTGAAAATGCAATTCTCCATAGTTTTGTTTAGAACTATGTAAGTTAATGTGAAATAATATTAAATGTGTACTTTCTTGCAATAATAAACTAACGAATAAAACTGCGTCATTATTTTTATTAAACAATACTTTTATCCCAAAAATTACACTGAAATCGTTTTTGACAAATCATTACATTTTGTTCAATCATATACAAAACAAAGTGCAAAGAATACTTTATTAATTATAAAAATGGGTTATTGTGTATGTGTTAAAAATAAACAGGCTTCTTAAATCTAATAAAGGGTTTTGCTTTTGTTCACTTGCAGTTTAAGAACGAGGTAATTATCGTAATTAATGGCTTATTTTTTATTTTCAATTTAAAATATTAATCCTAAATTCTTGGTTAAATCATTTCTGACATTTATCAACGCGACGGAATTAAAACTCTTGAAACACCATACTGACTGGGAATTGCTAATACATATAACTTATTTAATGAATTCTCCATTTCTGCCACAACAAGCATAATTGTGTTTTTAAATGTTTCAAAAGTTGAATTATTTATATTTAACATACATTTAACAGTGATGTAATTCATAACCTCTATTATTATACATTTTATGAAAATATATATATATATTTCATTGTGGACTTTGTTTTATTGTTTATTTCACAATAAATTTATTGAATATTCCTGCAGCATAAAGGGACAGTAGTGGTATTTTCGTTCATAAGGAATGAACGATAATGGTGTCGTCCTTTGAATCATTTGAATTAAAAAGGAAACAATCAAGATTTCTTTGAATAGAAACTCGTTTCCCTGATTAAGCAAAATTTCCTGCTTCCAGTTTTCTATTTGAACGATCGATGATCTCTCTTTAAATATGGTATAAGATATACGCATCGTCCTTAGTGGTATAATTATTAAATGACAAAAATGGCCGATTTGTTCCACAATTAAATTGACGTATCATGACAGGTAATTTATATTATGTGTTCAATTCAAAAAACTTTTAAATGTCTTTGTAAAAATGGCAATGAATTCCAACATTAGCAAACAATTGGAGAATAACACTTTTCATACAACTTCAAGTACTATCCTGTTTTAAATCATGTTAAAGGTATGTTTTGCACAATATTGATGAAATGTCCTCGTCCCGTAAATGATATATAATGTGGGTGGGGATTGTTTAATTGCTAACGCAGTCAAGGTGTAAAGGTCATAATGGATCGTCATCTCATTCCCCTAATTTTTAATTCTACTTGGGTTTTCGAGGGTTTTTTTTCGATTCGGCTCTCCGGGACATTCAAATAGTATGAGATGAAATAGATAAAAATTCAGTTACCAATGGCAGTGGGAATAATAAATGCAATAGTCAGCCAAGGGGTAAACTTCATTTTCAACAAAGTGTTTGTGGGGTCGTTAATTGCGACTTACTTTCATCGTCATCCTATAATATATTAGCGATTGCAAGTTGGGTAATGGGGAGGTCAGCTTTTCGAGACATTTACTTTTAAATGTTGTTAACAGTATCAAAGTACCATACAATTCCTGTTAAATTCGAAATACATACAGTATAATTTTAGGCAGATTGTTAAACAGTTAAAACGGGGGGAGGAAAATATTTGTGCACAAAGCCTTATATTCTTAAGTCGGGTATAGTCTGAAACCACTGCATGAAATAAAAAAAGCGGTTCGTGTAAAAGTAAAATGAGTGTCGAAAATATTGTACAATACTTTAAAAAGCACTACTTGTGATTATACGTCATACAATACACTTCATTCATAATGTTAAACCAGTTGGAACTTTTGTTGTTTTTTTTTGAAAATAGAAAACTTAATTGTCTTGTCATAATAGTATATTGGTGGTGATCTTGCGCAAAATAAAACAGCATTATAATGGAAATATTTCATTTTATTTCAATAAATATAATATAATGACATAGTTGATAATTAAAGAAACCTTAGGATATCGTTAATACAGGTTTGTTAATGTGAACTGAAATACATCTAAAAGAAAAAAAAGGTGAGTATTGTGACTAATATTTTTAGGTACCGTTATAAGTGTTTAACTAAGTATCAATATATTGAATACAAAAGAAAATATTTTAAATATAACAAATTATATCATGTTATCGTACTTTTCTTCATGAAAACAGAAAATAAAAATAGAGAAATTGGTTTAATATTTCAAAATGTATCAAAATGATAAAAAATATCAAAAACATTTTCTATAATGTTATCAAAGTGATTGTTTTTGTTTAAATCAATACACCTACATTTACAACTGCCTGAAAAGAAACTTGCCTGATACAATATTACCCTTGTCTGATACATTTTTATTTATAAATATAAGGGTTATGATATGATATTCAGAAAAATAAGTCCCGCCAATTATAATGCATTTTCCAATGTCTCATTCTCATTTAAGGTTAAACGTTATATTCTGCAGATAATCTTGCAATTGTCTAGTTTTCAAATCAAACTTACTTTTTTCAATTAAACATAAATTAGCTAGCGAATAGTATAGAACTGAAGTGTCATAATTTGATTCGCGAACGACTTCATAAATTTATAATTAATATGGTATCTAAACGATTTTTTGATGAATTCAACGTCCTCAAGACGTTTATACTGCAGATTGAATACTAAATATAAGACATATTAGAAAATTTATTGAAACTAGCATAAACATGATAACATAAACTCGATTTTAGGTATCTGCCCTTAAATCTGATTTTATTGTTATTCCATACACATAAGACTGACAAACATTTTTTGATAATTTGATTATGTTTATCGTTTTATCCTGGGTGAAATTACAAAAGAACATGCACAATGTTTTCCCGTCATTCAGTTCAAGTACAGATACTGAAAATTCTTTAGAAGAAAATTAAACAGTCTTCTCATTACAAATTGAGCGAAAAGTAGCAAAACAATAATATCTTGGTAACCTTGATTGTGAATTATCTGCCCTTGCAATATCCAAGATTTTCATAATCAAAGACAACTGACTCAAAAACATCAAACAAATAAAATTTTATCGTATAACCTAAATCAAGCAAATTTGCTTTTTATAATTCAAAACATGTTTTAAAATAAAATATTAGTAACTTCTAAAGGACTGTCTAATTAATGTACGTTTATTCAGGATATGACTGTGTTGTGCTTATTAAAGTCAAATCTAAATACAAATTACACACACAGATATGAATCAACAATGCACAAGACATGTATAGCTGATGATTATATACATTGATGCATGATTGTTGAACTTTTAAAATATGCGTGGCACTGTGGGATTTACTTTTATGCGGTTTGATGTTAATGCACGTTATAAGAGGCATTATCATTATTATCATTATTATTATACAGATTGTTGTGACTCAATTTTTTAAGGTTTTATATCATAAATTTAATGCTCAAATGAAGATTTATCAATAATGTTAGTTCCAAAAGGCATTATTTATACAAATATTACCGAAATTACATTTCATTTAATAAATTGTGATAATTTTAAATTTATTTTCTATCAGTTTAATTAAAATTTTTCAATAAGAAATGAATGCATATATTTTAATGATAACACATAACGAAGACAAATATTTGCAGCACATATTTTACATGTTCTTCGATGTTTGACATTTGTTTTAGAGGCATAAGTATATAGATATATAAAATTTCACTCAATTATAACATATAGGATATTTCACCTTTTAAAACATAAAATGTTCATGTACCCAATAAAAAGTTACGGCACAATTAGTTACACTCAAAATAGGACTAGTGAATGGTTTATTGAAATGTTTTCAATATTCTACAATATAAACGCAATGAACCAAATTTGTCCATATTTAAATGATTTGAACAGGGTAAATTAAAGTTACTTTGCGTAAGACGATCAAAAACAAAACAATGGTTCGTTAACATGCGTCTCATATTCTATAGTTATATAAATGCATTGAACCAAATAATGATTGCTTTTGTACATGTCAGAATTTTTGTGCTTTTGTTTAAATTTGCAATTCAACGTTTGAATAGGCATAGAAGGTAGCTTATGCCTGGCCAGATGAATAGGGGATACATGTAATTTATTTCAGACAGGCATGTCTCAGAGGCAGGCTGTCAGCACCCTTGAATGTTTTCTAAAACCGAGCCTGCAACATTTTTAATTTTGCCGTGTTGGGCTTTCTTTATAGATTCTTATTTTCTTTATTCCACTGTTAACTAAATAGGAATAAATTGAAACCGTTTCAAAATTAAAAGAAATGTAGCAGATACATGTACACTCAGTGATTGTCGTTCTATGTGTACAACTCTAGCATAATACCAATATGTTGTCGATTCAGTCCAGTGGTATTGTTTCTGGGAAGCTATTTCATTACGAAAGAGCTTCAGAAAAAATACAACTACTAGAACAATACTACAATAAGAAATATTATGATGCTGGTATGAATTCTAGATGTCCTGACAAATAAAAAAAAATCTTTTTTTTTTGTAACATAAAAAGAAAATGTCATCATAAATAAAATGTTCATCATGGACGTGATAGTACATTTTTACATATTTTCCAAGCATCTCATAACATTTTGCTTGTAGAACCACTGAATGATTTTAACTTTTTCTATTTTCGCTGGTCACATCGTACTTATCCAAGAATGATCACAGTCAAATTGAACAAAATTTATTATTACCCCTCACCTTTTTTTTAATGTTAATTTCCCATAGGCCTCTGGGATTTATTATTACTGTTAATGCAAGTGTACCACTGGACTAAGAATTTTGTACTGTTACATGGGTAACAGTATTTTTAACAGTATAAAATCTGGTCACGTGCTCTATTTACTAAATAAAATGAAATAAAATAGCCGCCATTTTTTTAGTATTCATAGGACAACAACATCTGCTCTTGAGTAACTATGACACACATAAAATTTAGTTGTTTGCACACTGGTGTGCTTTTCGCGTATAAAATAATTTTTAGTTGAATAGTCAAACAGTAAACATCCGTTTTCAACGGAAGTAATTGCAATGTAAATAATTATGTGTCAAACTGGAACATGCAGACGATTTAAGCTTGCAACAAAGGATTATTTAACAATTTGAATCAGTGAAACGTTACATATATAGTGGACAGACATAGGATATCATCGTTCTTTTGTCGAAACTCATGCGAAGAATATTCTGGAAACTGTAGGATCCGATTTCACAGATCATAACCGTATAAATGGGTTAGTGTTTTGTTTTCTATATAAAACACAGCTTATTGTATGTTTATGACTAGATATTTTCACTTGCTTTAAGAATAAAAGAAAACTTCTCAAGTAGGCCTAAAGTATACAGGCTACACTTAAAACTTAAAAGGTAAGGACAGTTTAGTAACTGTATTGTTACTCTTGGTTTATTTTTGTTACAGTTAGATTTAGTTGATAATTTTAGATCATCACAATATTTTTGTTCGGGGTAATAAAATAAATAACACATGGGTTTGTGAGTAACAGTAAAAATATCGTCCCTCGTAAAAAATACTGTTACACTCGGCTACGCCTCGGGTAATAGTATTTTCTTCGAGATGATATTTTAACTGCTACCCACAAACCCATGTGTTATTTATA